AGACAATTGTTCTCATGATAAAAATGCTGTTTAAAAAAAAACAACCCTGTGCTTCTGTAATGCAATAGCGTATTATAAGGTATTTGATACAGATGAAGACTCCCATATCTTATTTACCCCTACTTGCCTTTACCTCTAATGTCACATGGTCAATAACCTGCACATTTCTGGGATACAAACATTTGCAAACATGCTGCCAGCCAAGAACCTTTCAACTAGCTTCTCTGGCTACACCTGGAGTTTTAAAGGCCACTGAGGGGAGAATTAATATTTGGGGTTTTGCACAGAGCCTGTGCAATCATTTCTGGTGTTGCTTTGAGGCATTAACACATGTCAAAACAGAAACACTATTTAAGGGCTATTGATGATAGATGGCATCTAAATCTTCCTTGATTAATAATGCACACAAAAATAGCCAGCTAGCTTTCTCCAAGCATGTAGTCAGAACTATCCACTTGAAGTGAGACCTCCAAGATAAAGTATACCTGCCTATGAGGTAAGGCACTTTAAGGAGATCTAAAATACATACAGTGTTTAATATACTGATTTTATCTACACATGCTGCCTTTCCTTTATCCACTTGTTTTAACTCAGAATTTTCTACTCTCTCTTACCTGACATGAAACAGCAATAATGCAACAAATTAGCAATTTCTCTCTGATTAAAAGGACTCCTTTTTAAGAGCAAAGCACTTTGAACAGTTGAAAATGAACTGAAAGAGGTGCAAGCTCATTTTGCCTAAATCTTCTAGTCATTTAAAGAACTGGAAAAGCTGGTCTTTTGGTTCAACTCAAAAAACCTGTCTTTGTTCCCAGAGCAGATTTTCATAATTCATCTTTCAGCAGCAACCCAAGAGTGCATGGAGGCCTCAGTGCACAGCAGGAAAGGTACAATTTGGCATTTTTGTGTTGTAAAGTAAGCCACAGCTTGCTTCATAGAATATTCATTATTCTCATAAATTATCCAAAAATAAATCAATGTTATAGCACTTACAGCAAAATGCATTCTAAGTCCCTATGGCAGAATAGTGATTTTGTTTAATGTCAGCATCTCAGGAGTGAGGTGAGGGAACAATGGGGAAGTCCAACTTTATCCATCAGTGCAAAGAGCTATAAATATCTAGAAACTTTGGAAACAGCTCTTGGAAACAAACTCTTCCTTCACAAATCTGATCTCATGCTCCTAAGTCTTGGAGAAACCCCAGCTCTGCCTAGTAAATTGTTCAATGGGAATAGCTTTGATCTTTGTTAGAAAAGAAAAGCACACTCTTGTGAAATGTTAGCATGCGGAAATTTATGAACGGTTTACAGTAGACACCAGTGCATATAAACCAATACTACTTCTCAGAATCCTGATCTGAGAAACGAAACCATCTGTGACAGGGCTATATGCTGATTGCTCCTGTGCATGGGTGACATCACTGTAGCAGGAAAAAAGATCTGGAGAACAAGGTTCTTTCCAAGAGAATAGTCCAGCAATGCTCCATTCTGAACTTTTTATGAAGCTTGGCTAAATGGGATGAGAAGTGAATTAGTTTAAAACAAAGTAAAACACTTCAGTCCCTCCAAGCCTAGCAGCTGTAGTTCTCAGTGGCGAGACTCGAGATCTCGGGCAGTGTCTCAGCGCCATCTCCTGGGAGTTTTGCAGGCGCTGGCAGTACACCTTAACTGGCTTTGTAGAGACCAAAGCAAGCACGTTTCATTTTTCTTCTCCCACAGCACCAATCAAGTTTCAAGAACGTTCAAGTACTTGCATCATTTAGGGAAAAATCACCCCCAAAATATTCCGCTCCCTTTTCTCACTTCAACTCCCGAGTTACCCTTAATTCATGAGCTGTCTGATCAAATAGTGCCACTCTTCCTCTGTGTTTAGTTTTGCCAAAGAGAAAAGTTTGACCTGTATGAAGTAACGCCTTCTTGTTTTCCATCCAGAAGCCTTCATTAAAGTCTGTAGTTGGAGTGTCATGAGGATGACAAAAGAAAGCCTTCACCCCAAATGACCTGAAGTTGTGGAAGGAATAGTCTTTTCAAGATGAGCCTTAACCATTAGAAAAGTTGGGTTAGCTTGACACAAGTACAACACAGGCTATTTTCTAAGAATTATGCCTCACAGCATGACACATTCAAAATGAACTATTCAAAGACAATGGCATTGCTGTACAAGGCAGTTTGCAGGATTCAGGTGTTACACCAGAAATAAAATTGTTTCATATTACAAAAAAAGTCTCCTTCCTCATGTAAGAAAACAATACACTAGAGAAGCGAGGCCATATTTTAAAAGAAAGGAGGCCATGGCTTAAAAGTCTGTTATTAAAGTTATAAGGATCTAAGCTTATTCTCTTGGTGAAAAGGAAGCTTCATTTTTAAGTATCAGAAGTTTTCGATGTATAGACTAGATTGATACTTTCTGAAGAAGTGAAAGTAAATATGTTCCTTTCTTGGATTATTTTTTTATTCCCTTTCTGCTCAGGAAATAACTGGAAATCCTGACATGGAGAAAGGAGATACATAAAGTATGACCCATTCTCTAGGCTACCAGCATAGACAGGCTCAAACTTCAACTGTAGGAAGTACAGAAATCACAGTCCCTTGATCAAAACAAAAAGGAACATGCTTTATTTCTGTAGTAAAAATTTGTAACCATGGAGTCTGATAACCAAGCCTACACCTAAGAAGGAAGTTAATTCAGTATGGCTCTTCCAAATGCAAAGGCTAATTTTAAGGACAAAAAATGAACAAGGTAAATTTCGTGCATGTATATATAGCTACTCTCATGCTCAGGTTATAATGAAGACACCCATTCAAATGGCTTCCAGAAAAAAACAGTTTTCATAGCCTTTAGATAGCTCAGCAACACTGATGAAATTTTAGTAAATATAAGAGCCTAGAAAAATTGGCAATACAGCTTAAGTGCAGTAGTATTCCTAAATGTCAGTGACTTGACTATACTGACTCTACTTCCTAGTTAGCTGCACAGATAAATTGCAATTTACCAGAGTAATCAAAGTAATTTTGTCAGTTAACCATGAAATCAGGAAGAAGCATATATTAGTTGAAACTATGAAATTTTATATTTGATAAAGAGAATAAACACTATCAGCAATTTCAGTTAAATGAAATAGCTGAAGATATTTCTATTACTTTCCACACATTTAGATCAATAAAGAACTCATACAGGCAACAATTAAGTAATTCAGTGCTCTTTTAATCCTCCATTTACCTTGCATGTTTTCTTGTTAAATAAGAGCTGTAAGGCCATTTGGTGATTTAACGACAAGCAATCAACCTGTCATTCAAGGCAACATGATAACATATGAATTTCACTGCAGGCAAGTGCAAGGTTGTACACAATGGAAGGATCAATCCAGCTAAACAGGCACACACTGATAGGTTCTAAAATTAACTGGAACTATTCAGGAAAAAAAAAAGGGTCAAGATTGAAGCTGACTGCAAAAGAACATCTGCTAAACAGACAAAATGTTAAGGCAAAGAATAAATATCCCAAGTACTGTCCCATTGTTTAAGACTGTTTTATCATAGAAGCACGGGATGGTTCGGGTTGGAAGGGATCTTAAAGATCAGCTAGTTCCAATCCTCCTGCAATGGCCAGGGTACCTTCACCTTGCACATTTCCTGCCTCCATCTATAAAAGACTTCTGTAAAATGAACAACTTGCATCTACGTCAGGTAACAATCTTCACTGGTGTGCTCTAGAGCCCTGAAAGAGACCAGTCCAGGTATCTGGACTGCAGATAGCAGAAGACAGGAAATCTTGAGAAAGACAAAGTATAAAATCCTACCTGTGAAGAGATATTAAGTGACATCACATTTAGTTTTATTTAAAATGATCTGACCATACCTGCATTTTACATTTTTCTATTAGAATGAAAAGAGGGAAGAAAGAAAATGGCAATACCAAACATGAGCTAATGAAAAGGAAATCTGAGTTCACACTCACACAAACAGAAAATGAAACAAAAAGTTAAAGAAATGAAAGAGGTGAAAGATTTGTGAATCAGGCTCACTTTGTCACTGTCCAGTTAGAAAAAAAACAAACTATCAATCTTTCTTTAAGGACAAGACATGGAAGAGCGTAAGGGTACAACTCCATTTCCAAGTCAAGAAACTGGAAAAGCAACTTAGTATGAGAATCTGATCTTGCAAATCAGGATCTACAGAACTGAACTATGTGTTATCCTTACAATGAGACATTTCATGCTCAGACAATCTACTGGAGAAGAGTAAAGAAAGCCTGTCGTGGCTTAAACCCAGTCAGGTAACTCGTTCACTCACCCCCCCCTTCTTTCCCTCCCCCTACTCCCGGAGGGACGGAGAGGAGAATTGAAAACAATGTAACTCCCACGGGTTGAGATAAGAACAGTTTAGTAACTAAGGTATAACACAGATCACTACTGCTACCACCAATGATAATAATGATAAAGGAAATAACAAGGGAAGAGAATACAACACCTCACCACCAGCTGACCGATAACTCGCCCCCCCAGCCCGACCAAGCACTGACCGATACCTCCTCCAACCCTGCAGTCTCCCCAGCCCTTCCGGCTAACTCCCAGTTACATCCTGGGCATGACGTGCTGTGGTAGGGAATACCTCTTTGGTCAGTTTGGGTCAGGTGTCCTGTCTCTGCTTCCTCCCGGCTTCCCCTCCTCCCTGGCAGAGCATGAGGCTCGCAAGTCCTTGGCCAAACCAAAACCTCCTTGTTATCACCTCTGTTCCCAGGCCGAAAATCAAAACACTGCACTGCATCAGCTACCAAGAAGGGGAAAAATGACTGCTACTGCTGAACCCAGGACAAAGCCATATACAAGTTTTGATGTGTAGTCAATTTTTTTTTTCAATCGTAGGTATACTGGCCACCTGAAAAAGCGACCATTTCGAACAGGCATCGTACTTCCTTCATAATGGGTAAGTTATGAACACTTCCAAAGACACCATTCCTAAAAAAACATAAACAAAAATAAAATGGACTCAGACACAAGCTTTCTTGAGCAGCAATTCAGTTTTAATGAAGTCAAAAGTTAATAACATCAGAACAATTGTATACACCTATACACACACTTCAGAGCTTAATGAAATATCAATTACTTCCTATGTACAATCAACTGAAATAATATAATGGAAATATGACCTAAACAAGGAAATACAAACATGCTGTTGCAAGATTATTTAGCTTGTTTTGATCGAAGCCGTCGCTTGATGATTAGATGATCACTTTCCTTCGCTTTTTCTTCTATAAGAATCTGAAAGATTATATTTCAAGAGTTACTCAGCATTTCTTCAGAGACAAATTACAAGCACTTCTAGACGCATGTAACCAGTAACCTGTTTCCCCCCCCCCCAGAAGTTGTTTTCAGAATGAAATTTCCTTATTATCTTTTAGCCAGAGGTCCCCACTACAGAAAATCTCTTGTTGCATCAGAATAAGCGACAAATACCAGGGACATACAAAATCACTTTATTTTTTCCTGAAAGAAATACCAAGGTCCAAAGCAAAATGTGATTTGAAACCAGCTCTCACTTCTAAACTCTAATACTCATTTCATGAAACAGGAAGTGTGTTCAGAAAACATATTTTCATCTTAATTTCCTATAGCTATCTCTGCTATCCTGGGATTTGGTCTGTCACTTTCTCTTTTAATTCCAAGCTTCTTCTTTTGCTCTGCATTTGTTGTTTTCTTCACCCTTCTGTGAAAAACATTTTTGTTTCTGCTGTATTCATTCATACAATTTACAGAAAATTCAATAGCACATCTCACTATGGGCAACCATAGTTACTGTCAAAACCATCTACGTGGATTTCAGAAGTCATAAATCAAGCTCTGGCCTAGAAGACTTGTTCTAGGCTGACTTAGGGCGACATAATTTAAGCACACACGAAGGCTATCTAAACTGTGCTTTGAAAAGCATGGATGTACCATCATCCTACAGTAACAGATATCAGCTGGGCATAAATGGAATTGGAAGTTACCTTTGGTGCTCACTTGCCCTGCAAAGTTAATTGTACTTGCAGACTTTTGTAGCTTTAGTATTTCAATTATGCTATTCCAAATCTATGGACAGGTGAGAAGACAGAGAAAGTAAAACAGCAGAAAGAAGAGGCCAAAAGCAATGGCTAGGTAGAATCAAGAAATAAGTATTTTCAAACTTCTTCTGCAACTTGATTAGACCGTCACATTTGTTCTGTCCCCCTAATAGTGCATTTTAAGTCACTATTACAGAAGTAGATCACAGTGGACAGAACAGTAACCTGTAATCACTTACCGAAGAAGCAGGAATATCTAGAGGGCAAGAAATGTCAGTTGAATACAGCTTTCTCTTAGCTCGTTTTGGCTTCGGCTCATTTTCTTTTATGCTTTCTGGTTCTGCAGAGTTAGGAGAGCTTATTGTTGCAATCAGCTTCTTTGCTAGATGAAAATATTTAATCATAAATTAATGTCTTACTGTGCTTGTAAACCTCAAAACTAATGAATAAAGCAAGCCTTATTAAAAACAATTTAAAAATTAAAGAGATATTGTCTGAAGTTTAAATATAAAAATTCAGATGTGGTATTTGACTACCACAGTTTTCTGTGGCTGGAAAAGTTTTTCCATAGCTTCAGGTGCAAAAGCTTTAATGTGCTATTTAAAGGTATCCTTTAAAATCAGTTAGGATTCAGATTTCACTGGAAAATAAATATTTTAAAAAGTTGAACAACAGGCTTAAAACTTCTTTGTGCTGACAGGAGCACAGGGTAGAGTCAATTTTCTCTATGTATTTCTGTAGTTTTACCAAGGCAGGACTAGCTCTCTAAAGAGATGACTGTATGCATATTATGAGCTAGAAAAGAAGACATCCTGAACAACAGCAAGTTACGTAAAAGACTAAAAATACAGGACATCATAATAAAGGTTACAAACTAGACCTCATCCTCATTTGTCCAAATTATGTATTTTCAGGGTGAAATTCTGAGTACCCTGAATTTGGCTTACATTGATGACAATGCTGTCCTCATGGAGACAAATCTGACAAGGCTGGAATGTTTTAAAAATCCCACTATCTTCATCTAGACTGTCTTACAGCAGGTAAAGTGTACTCTGTAGCAAGTCAAGTTTTTCAGTTGGTATAGAGATCTTAATTTTAACCACCCACACCGAATAATGACTGATCTTGTTTTAACAATTGCATCTTTTAGAATTTAACACAGGCAATTCCTTGTGCTCACTGCTAATTTCATTTTTGTTTTAAACACAGTAACTCAGAAATTATGTTTTAATACAGGAAAGAATAACATGTTCTTTAGTAGAAAGTCCCAGCAGTTAATCTTCCCAAGGCTATGCTTAAACTTAGTGAAACCCATTAATCGCTTCATAGTCAGCTTATTGAAGTCTTCCAAATACTTTCATAAGACACCAGCTTTTGGGTTCTTTAGAACTCATTTTTTCTCCCACATGTGTACATAAAGAAAAGCATTAATACAGTTTCCACAGAAACAAAGTGGTGGAGAGGTGGGGTGTGGGTAAGGAGGGATCGCTTATAGAACAAGGTAAGATTTAGAATCTGGATTCAGCGCTTTTTCTCTTTAGAGCAGCAGGACAAGTCCCTGAAAGTGCCCTTAACTGTTTTACTGTAAGCAAAACGAAAGTAACTCCAACATGTTGAGCTTAAGTTATGTCTTTTATGATGAATTTATATGCATATATTCCACACTGCATCCTTTCATTCCATCCAGTTTACCTTTCACAACCTAAACTTCATAACCATGTGGTCTTTGCAGTCAAGACAGCCTTTTCTGCTCTGCAAGATTTAATATAGCAGGCCCCAGTTCAGATTCCTTTATTTCATAAACAAAACAGCAACTTAATGAAGCAGACTTATCATTTAATAGTATATGTATTAATAGGTTACAGTAGAAAAAAGCTATTCTGCAATGCCCAGAGAATATGCAATAAGACTATTTGCTCTGTACAAACCTTTAGACTGAATAATAGTAGGAGAACTTTGGAAGAAGTCTCCAATTTTTTGTAGTGTTCCACCATTCTTCTTAGCAGAGTTTTTACTTGAAGTGGATTCTTGCTTTCTTAAGGGGTATGGTTTTCTAGGTTGTAGAGTAGACACCTGTACAAAAATACAAAAGTCAATTTGCAACTTCAGCAATGCTCATCTTAAAGTTTAATTCCATTTTATTTTACCTCAATGTTATTTTCAAGCTGACATTTTGAGCTTTCCTACTGACACCTCTGTTCACTGTACTAATGACACTACCACAACAAAAAAATATAAACAGCCTTGTTTTACACCCAGAATTAAAAAACATTGTCAAAGTTTCACAAAATACATTTAAGGGCATGAGAAATATAGAAAACAGTTCCTTAAAGAAAAAAAAAATTGGTTCAAAGTTGTAGGCAATTTCATTAGACCAGCTGTTCTAGTTATAACTAAAACAAGAGAAAACTGGTGGGGAAAATGAATCTACTACCCATCCTCTGAACCCACCCAGTTTACTACTAATGCCTAAAATAATTTTCCTGCATATAGATGAAATAAACCCTGCTTTTACTTCAAAGGCATTGCCTATAACATTATGTATATTAATAGTATGTTCAATATTCAATATGAAAGTTCATTCCCTATGAATGATTGTACAGTGCAGCTAGTACACATTATTGGTAAATACAGACTTACTCTTTTTGGTTAGTTTATTGAGTTTAGGAAGATAACATGTTTAGAATCCTATTCAAGTACATAGATAAAGATAAGATACTGCTGCATATCTCTGCTCCTTTCACAAGTCCACCTTTACAGAAAAGGCCAAACTAACTTCAAAAATAGAATAAAATCAAACCATTTTCTTGTTGCTTGTAGAAGGTGAATTAGTCATAGCAGGTCTTGCATTTTTTGCGTTCTCACTTTTCACAAAATCCTAAGAAAATAAATATGACAAATTTTACCTAGGGTTCTTCTGGAAAAAACAAGAATTTTTTATATTACAGAAGCAGTCACTGTTTAAGTGCTGAGACCAACAGTAGGGAGCCACTGGCTAACACTGGATAGAAGTAATTATTCAAATGTGAATTGAATGCGAAACACTTGTGGAAGGGAACTAGAAATACCTGTTGTCAAAACATTCAGACATTTATTATTTTCTTCCTTCTATTGTTTCCTATACTTCTGGCTTTAAGACATTTGAGAAGCAGATACACAAATTTAAGTTAACTCAATACATCTAAATGAAAATTCAGATTTACAGTGACAATTATAAAAACGTGTCAGTGACATAGACAGCTTAACATGACAGCGTTAAGCTGCCATTAAAAGATGACTTTTATCTCATTAATTGGTGCCAAGAGATTTCAGGTAACCAATAGCCATACCAACTGATAACAGCGTTAGAAGAGAAAGAGAATTTTGTTCTTTGCCTAATTATAAAGAGTCTCAGCAAAAGATGTGGGTTTTTAAAAACCAAACCCAAACCCCCAAAAATTCCAACCCCAAACTACACCACTTTTTAAAAAAAAAAAAAAAGGGAGATGAGCAATATGTGGTTGAGCACCACAGGTTTCCCCCCAGCCCTTACTTTTACGGCTGACAACATGCTTTTCTGTTTCAGACGATTTAAAAAACAAATTGTGTCTTCAGTAGACTTGTGACATGTAAAGTTGCTGAATCCCTTTATAATATATTTAGCATACCAAATTAAGAGTCATATTTGGGTGAACAGAACAGCAAGATACTTTTAAATTTAGTTTCATGTTATTGAAAAATTACTTAGCTAAATGTTCTCCCATAAGGATATGAACACAAACTACACTGAAAGGATTTAAATGAATAGGTAAAACAATCTCTAAAAACATGGAGGTCCTTTCCAACCCTAACTATTCTATGATTCTATAACTACATTAGATTAAATATCTGTAGAAAAAGTTTGGTACTTTTTCAGTGCCTTCAGAATGATGGTTATTTTTCACCTACTTTGCCAGCAAGCAGAAAAAATACTACTCTCAAAAGAAAACTGTTTCAAGCCACAAGAGACTTAAATCAGCTCTGGACATGCTTCCAGAATGAAGTGTTGAATTCCAGATGAACTAACTTACACAGTTTTTAACAGATTTAGCAAAATGAGTTTATTGAAGCCCTGTTGCACAGTAATCATGGAAGTGATTATTTATCTTAGCTATTTTATTAAGAGATTAAAAAACATATCACTTAGGAATGATTGAGCAAGAAATGCTAGAAAAGCATCAGATGCTTCACTCTTCAGCTGAGACAAGTTCACTCACTAAGACATCACTTACTACCTATCATCCACAATCTCACAGTCACCTGTCAGCTTCAGAAGTCCTTAAAAGCATAGAGATTCATAAGCCCCACAAGTATGATTAAAGTACCACCACAATGTGGTCTTATGGTTTCAAGGCCTTCTTAAGTGTCTTGGAGAAAACTGTCTTGGCACTGATAGAAGGCAGAGGGATGGAACATGCAGTTCAGGTAGGAGAAGTGAAGAAGTGAAGATTTTTACCACCTTGGACTGCTGTGAAGCCTTTGTCCCACATGTAAACACCACAGCACATTAAGAGGGCTGGAGTACATAATCTAGTACAACTGAAGAAATTAAAGAGGTATTAAGGCCTACAGAAAACAGGGAGGTTCAGGTGTTGGTACATAGTCCCTTCAAGTACAAAAAGATCAAAGAGAACACAAGCTGGAGGAAAAGTGGAAGGAAGTGGTCTTGAAACTTTGAAATGCACTGATTAAGCTCACAGACTTAACTTGTAATTGACCATTAGAGGGGTTTATAATTGACATCAATAATTGTCTAAACCAAAAGAAAAAATTCTATAGAACTGGTCCACAATCCCACATATATCACAGCTGGAGGCAGAAGCAAACGGTGCTTGTAGGGAGAGAGAAATGTAAAAGGTGAAGAGAAAGTGCAAACCAGAGACAAGGGGCCAGAGTCTGGATAAACTGAAGTCTATCACCTTATTCATCACAGGCCAGAGATTCATTCACTTGACTGGGGGGAGGACAGGATGATGTTTGAAGAAGCTTAAATATACCCTACATATATCTTTTGGGTCTCAGTGAGAATCAGGAAGATAGGATTTTAACAGAGTACTAGAGAAAAGCTGCACAACATAATATGTCAGCTGGTCTAGGTCATACCTCATCCATCTCTTCACTTTTTCTTTTCTTTCTTGGCTTGAGCATTTTAACTGTAACTGGTATGGAGCTACCCTGGTGCTTCACCTCCATCTTACTGGGTTGCAAAGGTGTGAACTGGATTTCCATCTCTGGTTTTGGGAACCGATCAGTTTTTCCATTTTCTGTAGACACTTCAGACGAGTCAAGCACAATTTCAGAATGGTCCTGCAAGCATAGGAACATTTTAAGAAAACAAACTTTAAAATAACTATGACTTAAATGATATAATACATATCCTTCTCCAGTGGATTGCAAAGCAAGCATTCCTTTTTCTAGCAGTCAGCTTTTGGAACACTTCCAATAAAAGCAAAGAAATCTACTTCAACTACAGCAGAATTCAACTCTTATTTTCTAAAACTTTTGTTAAATTTTAAAAAGTTATCACTTCCATACATGATCACAGAACTTAGTCTTGCTTGCTGAACTCAGCCTGACACTTTGTTTGCAAGTCATTTTCCTCAAGGGCAGACAACTAGTCAGTTTTCACAGCTAGCAGTAGTAGCATTGACATGATTTTACTCATGTTAACTCTGCTGCTCTTTAGGAACTGGGCAGTAATAGGAGCTTGAGAGAAAAGTATAGTCTTTTTCTAGCTTGTTTTCAGGGAGCTTTCCCTCCCCCTTCTACACTTAGAGAAGTTAATTGTGCAAGTAACAAAGTTCGACTGATTCAAGCCAAATTAAACTGATGAGGACTTCCTCACTCTGCTTAACAATCCGCCACTTTATAAGTCTCAGCAACAGGTAAGTTTTCAAGAACATATGATTCAGGTCAGATATATTCACATGATTATGTGATACAGCTTTTATTGCTACCAAGAGCAACAAAACTAGGTGATCTGATCATCAAGAAAGATTTACAGAAGAAAAAAAAAACAACCAAAAACCAAACCAAAAAAAAACCATGAAAAAACCAACCCCAAAACCTTTTAGAATTGTTTGGGCAACAGGAAACAGGACATTTTGAATCACTAAAAATCTATTCATGCTAAGAGATTATAAGAAATGTCCTGCTGGGTTTCACCAGCAGTCCATCTAGTTCAGTATTCTGCCTCTAACGGTGGGAAAGGGAGATGCTGTTATTGAGGGATAAGATGTGTGATCCTGGCCACCTTGTCATCTGTTCTCTCCATACTCACCCAGCACTCTCAATTGTTGCATTAGAGGGGTCAAAGGATATACCTTTGCCTAATCCTCAGAGTACCCATTTGTGAATATAGTTACGAATTTCAAATACAAATTTTTCTACTCCCTGTTGATAGTACCTGTTTTCAGAAGATCATTACTGGCTTCAGATAGGAATAAGTTACTTTAATTGTTAACAGCTGCCCAGTTCTTGCAGGATTTTAGGAAAGACAGTTTTGGCTTTTGCTTACCCACCGCAACCATGATTTTGTAAACCTCAGCTCCATAATTCTCCAGTAGCCTTAACCTGTCCTAATCAGAGTGCCATCTTCTTCGCCTCTTCTCAAATGGCAGGAAACATATCCCCTTGAATGCTTTAGTTTTTATTCTTTATCATCATAATGTGTATCCCAGGAATTATTTGACTTCTCCCCCCAAAACTTTACCCCATTCACTTCAACATCAACAGAAGTTTCTCACATGATAATCCTCCTAGACAGCTCCACTTACCCATAGGAACAAGTATTGTCTCTACTTCCTTGAGGTAAATATGTCAGCACCAAGTGTTCACAACAATTCTTCAATAACTACTTTAATAGCAAAAAAAAAAAAAAATTATGGTGCTCTCTTACCTGTTATTACAAAGCTGTGTAAAGCAGTAGCCCTTCTGAGAGCTACTCTGTCCTCCCTCATTCATCACAAGCTTTATCTATATGGCACTAGCTGAACTGATGAACTAGCAAGAATCTAGCCAGACAGTCTTATTTGGCAGTAGACAGGAAAGAGATGAAGAGATGAGTTTTGTCATTCATTCCAGTTCTGTAGCAAGAGGAGAAATGCATGTTCTAGCAGCCAGAGGAGGGATTGCTAGGAAATCCACTTTCAGCCTTGTTCACTATTAATTAGTAATAGAGCCACACAGAATTAATTCAGTTTAGCAGGAGAACTATATCATTAAATACTGTTCAAGTTAACATGCAAGGGTTCAGTCAGAATTGGAAGTCTCAGTATAGCTGCAAGCCTTTCAATTTTTCCTTCCAGAAATAAACAAAGTTGATATTTTCTTTGCATAAACATCAAATATTGTTTTGGTTTTGTGTGGGATGCAAGATACTGTTTTATTCTTCTTTATTCTTCTGAACCTCCATATAGGTTGGAAGCTCCTATTACAGAAACATCTCTATTACCACAGTAGAGGCAATATCACAAAAGTTTTGAGCCGAAATTCCCTGAGCATAATCAAACTAAAATGGCACTACAATGTCTTCAAATCTCTAGAACCTGGATTAGTTAACTACTTTTCCCCTCAGGTATGTAAGTTCTACAACATATCGAGAGATGGTATTCTATTAATGTAAGTACCCTATTTCTGATAGCAAAAGTGTGAGATGGAAAGAATGAACAAGAACTCAGAACTGAAGACAAAGTATGAAGAACTATGAGCAATAAGTTTTGTCAGATTCCCAATGTGCTGAAATATAGAGAAAACAACAAAAGTTATTAAAAACTTATAATTAGTACATACTTTCCATAACAAACCATACCTCTTTGTTTACAGACTGATCTATTTCATCTTGTCCTTCTTCAGGTATAGGTACTTTTGCCATAGACGGAAGACTTCCATGGTTAACGTGCTGTTTCAGTTCCTTTATAAAGTCATCTTTCTCAGCCAGCTGTTTCCTTAGTTCTTCTATATCAGTTTCCTCATCCTAAAAAACATAGCAAAAAATGCCACAAATTGCAGGATTGGCAAAAGAAAATATACACACAAGCATCATTACTTGGAAGCATCAGGTTTAGAACTGCAAGCTAAACCAGTCAGCTATCCAACAAAAAGCCAACAATTTCATGTATGAGTGGTCACTATTTAAAGTGAAGGGAAGTCATGTAACACCCAGGGAAGATGTAATGTAAATTTTTTTTACTCTACTTATGTGGAGTTATAAATAGGTCACCTCCCATTTGCTCATTAAGCCCCTGGGGCTGCGAAAAAAGCAGCAGCTATGATAACTGTTTAAGATCTCCAGTCCAACTTTGCAATCAAAGGATCAAAGAGACTTTAAATATACCACTAAATGTTTTGAAACTTTGGTTACTGTTATAAATTCAGTTTCAAACATAAAGCTTCTATTTTTAATGAGCTGCTAATGGCTTCAATATGACAGTAAGAAGAAAAAATAGAGCCAAAACACAGAAAGTATTGTGTTTTGTAGAATTAATGAATAACAAAGTAAAAAAGAAAAAATAAATCCCACAAGAACAAGAGAGAGAGAACCTTTCTCAAATCCTTTAGTGCAGCCTGTTTCAGTTCCGCTATTTCTTTATCTTTTTGTGTGGTGTTAGAAACCAAAGTCTTGAGCTGCATTTCCAAAGCTTCTACTAATTTATCTCTTTCTTCACGCCACTTTTGAAGATTGTTGTCCTTTTCTATCAGCTGTGCAGCAGCAAGTCTTTCCTAAACAGGGAAAAAAAAATAAAAGATCAGAATTGAATGCCAGTTCTACACACTATCTGAACTGCTCTGATAGTTTGGTTTCACATAGTATTACTATTTTATGGCCCAAGTAAACTTGAAAGCCTCTATTGATCTTACAAAGCTCACATAGAACTTTTTTTACAAAAAATATACAAAAGCAAACTACACTTCAATTAGAAAATATGCATCTATATTTATACTCTTTGTTACTAATAAAATCAGAGCGAGCAAGTCTCAGGCAAGCAAAGTCACAGATAATGTTAAAGTAATCTTAAGCTCCTAATACCCTCCTGTACTGATTGCAGGTCCAGAAAGTCATTGCCAACTATATCTGGATGCAAATACAGTTTTAGATTGGACAGATTCATTTAATAATCTTATATACTCAAGAAATACAACCATGATGCAGTCTGGTGAACAGGTAAGGTATTTACCTTGCTATTAATTCTCAGTTGAAACTGATACAGGAAAAAAAAAACACTAGCATTTTAATCAAGTATTTTTATTCTAAATCTCAAAAGAAGATTTTTTGTTAACTTCTGCTTTTAGGAAAAAAAGCCAAACAAACAATCCTATTTTTCAAAGTATGTTTTCTTAGCTTCAATTAAGCAGCAATTCATGTAAGTGTAGGTTACCGATTAGTGTTTTACACACAAAATAATGTTTGAAGAATTCAGTGAGGTGGTGATAGGATAGAAAGGAACAGGCACGGTAACTTCTATTACATATTAAGCTCTTTCATTTTGTGACCCTCCTATTCTTCCCTTTTCTTAACAAGATGGTCTCATCTAGGTTTCACCATGTGATAAAGTGAGGGGATTTTGACAAAGGTCAGCTACCCTCAAGCATCCACACTGTTAACACTTCACATGAGATTTGCTCTGTACTAAAGACACTAGAAGATTCAATATACTAAGACCTCCAGTCACTTACAATTTCTGCTTGTTTCTTTATGTGGTGCTCTCTTTCCTCCTCAAATTTTCTCATTTCCCTGTTGTGAAGGATCTCAGCTTCTTTTACTTGATGTACGAGTGCCATTTTTTCCTCCAGCCACTTCTTTCTATCATTTTGATACTTTGCCTCATTTTCCTATTTTAATTAAACCAGAAATAAAACCATAGGTAGAGCTTAAGAAATAAAAATCTCAAAATCCGGATTACCATTAAACGGATTTCTTTCAAAAAGATAAAAATCCTAACACAGTTTTACTCTAGCATATTCCCAAGTGCAAGTATTACACTCTCATATGTTCCTCAGTATTAAAAAAAAAAATGAACGATTTTCAGCAAGTTTTATTCAGACTGACGCATCTTCATGGAACCTTTTTTTTTCCTCATCTAAAAATGTGCTGAGTGAGCACACTATAAAAGTTACACCAAAAGTAAACAGACTCTTCTAACTTACAAATTCCCAATCTTTTACACTGCCTTGCAGGACATGTTAGAAAACTTACTTCTACTTCAAGACTGAAAGGCAAAGAGTACAGTACGGTTTGAATAGTAGGCAGAGATAGGGCATACCAAAGAATGTTGCTTCAATCCACAGCAACTTTGCCTCCTTTCCTATCACAATCAAAGCTCTTGTCAGACATCCATCCACATAAAACAGAAGGCACTCAAATAGCCGCTTGTGGGGAGAGAAGGAAAATCTCTCTAATCCAGTGAGAATTAAGTTTAAATTCTCAGCCTAACAAGAAGGGGTTACAGGTCATACAGCAAGTGCAAGATCTTGAAAGAGTTTGATTTAGTTGCAAAAGCAACTGACAGAAATGAGGTTTGGAATAGCTATCATAAGTTAGATTAGCTAAGACAACTGTAAGAAGCCTAGCTATGAAAAGACATCTATGGTAGCATAACATAAGGACGAGTGCAGTTCCTTACAGGGCATCAGTGATGCTGTATGTTACAAAGATATTGCATCCAGACTTTGCTGTACTGGTGCGCAACAGTTTATAGAGGAGGTTTCCTTTACTAGTGTAACAGCTTGCCATATGATGCCCTAGCTCTTGAAGACAGTGACACAGAAAAAAAAAAAGTAGATTTCTAAATGAAAGTTACGGCTTTAAAACTAAGTATGAATGACGTCACCATATTTTACCTTCAGTTCTTTTTGCAGCTTCATTATTTCCTCATTTTCACTTATGTTTTTCTCCTCATTTTTGCTCATCTTTTGCTGCCAGTCACTATCGCTCTGGTTATTCAGCTCTCCAAATTTCTGCTTCCATACTTCCAGTTCTAGTCAGTACACAAAATGAGGTTATATAATATAGAGTTTAAATGCATATTTGAGCACATTCACATCCTTATTCTAAAGTTGCTTGAATTTATCAGCTGTGACTGCAAAGGGACAAAAGAGCCTTTAACTGTTAGAAGTTTGTTATGTACTACATAAAATTAATGCCTAAATAGCAGTCAACAAATAAAATCATAAATTTAAAGTATCTAATCACAATAGATCCAATATAATTTTGCCTCCCTGCTCCCTTTCCATAGATTACCCCAGACTAATCTGTTGTTCTCTTCTAGTTTGGCTTCAATCACTTCTTCTTGTTCAATCTGCGTCTGTTCTTGTTCTTCTAATGTCATCCGCATATTTTCAATTATTTTTTCCTTTGCACACAGATCTGAAGATTTGAAAAATATTTACAATGAGCCCTATCATGTTTTAACTTAGTTCAGGTCAGCTGTCCTGGATGTGCTCCCTCCCAGCTTCTTGCGCTCCTCATCACTAACTGAGCATGAGAAACCACTACTTAACACACCAATGTTTTAATTGTTGCTTTCAACATTAATCTTATACTAAAGCCAAAACACAGCACTGTAGCAGCTACTAGGAAGACAATTTTATCCCAGCAGAAAACCAGGACAGGCCCTCTCCTTGTTCCCACCATTCTCTCCCAAAGGGCCTTTATTAGAAGTCATTTCCCCATTTCCCAAGATCAAAAGCTCTATTAGAAACAGTGCAACTCTATTGAACTATCTGCATCCAAAATTCTTAAGTGACTCTCATGAGCTTGATTTAGGCAAGCATTTCAGTTTAACATCAGACTGTGGCTTGTATTATATGGGAAACTAATAATTATTCAACTGCTAGATGTTTGTCAAGCCTGCAGAAACTGTTACTGTGCTAGTTAGTGTTTCAGTGTTCCAATTTGTTAAAATGACTAATAAATACCAACATTTAATAACCTGACACTGATATCAGCAAATTCACACTTACTCTGAGCGCATATTTCTTAATGAGACTGACTGCTTTCAAATGTGCCTGCAAATAATGCCTTAATAAAATTTAGTTCTTGACTGTATAATTTTAATGCCCTGTTTGAAGTTCCTAGTTTTTTTTTAAATATAAATATACAAAACTGTCCCAAGTTCATTAACAATATGACAACTCATTATGTTGTCATTCCACACCAAAGGGGGGGAAGTAATAAAACTGTCTTTTTCTGACCTTTACATGTTTTCTCATACTCTTTGGAGATTTCTTCCAGTTTCTCATTATTCAACTGCTCCTAAAGCATTTAAGAAAAACAGTCCAGCATAAATTTTTTATGTGGTGTTAAGGACCATTCAAGTTGACTAAAACCCAAAAAGGTTTAGAGGAAAACATTAGTGACACATAGACGTGTTAGTAGTAATCAGAATATCTGCAAGTATTAAGTGTGTATTAATTAGGCAGATTGTTTAAAAACAATTTGACAGTGGCATGCAGTGAGAAATTCTTTAAACATCTCTTATCCACCTATTAATTTCAAACTGTCTACTCTTATCTTTACTCCAGTTTCTGTAAGCTTTTTCCTCCTGCTTGCCTCATTTAAGGATTCATCAAAAAAAATATTAAGAGCAGTAAAAAAAAAAAAAAATCAAAAAACCAACCTTTTTAAGTTGCAGAATTGTGCGCTGTTTGATCCCTAATTCTTCACTAAGCTGGTTTTTAATTTTCTGAAGTTCATTAACCTTGTTCCTCAGTGATTTCTCCTCAGATCGCATTGTACCCACCTGTAACAACGCACAAAGACATCAAGGAAAGCTAGCATTTTGTATAAGCCTCTTACAACCTTTGTAAGTTACCTAAATAACTAATTATTTTAATTAAGAGTTAAATATCTGCAAACAGCTAAATTTCAGGGGCAGAGGGTTAAAACAACAAAAAAAAAAAACAAACACAAAAGAAAAAAAAACTACCAGGAAATAACCTAATCAAGCTACAAATTCAATTCCTTGCTATTTCTCAAACAGGGGATTATACACTGAAAATTTAGTAGGTATAGGTCCTCAAATTATAGGCTGCTGGGGAAGACATTAATACTTCAAGTCTTAATTTTCAAGCCAAACTCTTGCAACACTCTTTTGGATTTTAAGTTCTTGTAACATCTCATGAGGTCCTAGTGCTTGATAAGCAAATACTAACAATTAACATTAAAGCGATTCCATGCTTTCATTTCTTCTCCACACCTTAATAGGAAACGTAACTCAAATTTTTAAAAGTTGATTTTTCTGAAAAACCCATCTCCTCCTTCCAGATATCAGTGTTTTCCCCCTGAAACATCAGCCTTTGAAGTCAGAGCAAATAACATAAGACTACTGTTGTCATAAAGATTATGTTTATAATTTACTTCTCCATAACCAGATTAGCCATAGTTTTTACAAACCTTTTTCAAATACATTAACAAAATTTACATCCCCCCTTCAGTATCTGTATTAATCTGTGTTTTGACGTCTGGTATTATCTTTAGCTTACAACTTTAATGGTAATTTAATTTAAGATTCACTATTATGCTAAACGCATCACTTGAAACAGCTTTATTATTAATCACGTAACATTCATAGCTTGAAATTTGTGAAAACAGGTTTTAATAACAGAACCACAAACAAACTTGAAGAAACATTTGGCCTATATTACCAACCTCTTCTTGTACTTGCTGAATTTGTTTCTTGGCATCAGAAAATTTCTCTTTCAAATCTATATATTCATCCTCTTTCCTCTGCAAGTCTTCTTTCAAACTCCGTACAAGGGCAGAACTCTCAGAAAGATCTTTACGTAGCCTTGTGTTCAAAATTAAGAAATGTAAATGACATTAGTATTACATATCTCAGAGAAACAGCTTTTCCACATTAACTCAGGCTCTATGCTGGTTTTATTCATTAAAAAAAATCTTAGATTTATCAGATTGATGCCAAGCCTTACAATTTTACTTTTGAATTTCAGCCTATTATATGACCCTGAAGTAATAAACTGATCAGATTCACTTCCGAGCACTGCAATTTATTTTTAAGCAGACCAGAGCAACCATTTTTATCATTAGGTGTCCTTACAAAGTAAGAAAAGGAACAAGATTAATATCAAGTAAGTTTAAACTTGATACCTTGATACCAGACCTTATAAGGATCAAAATATGTAAAAAGAAGAATGTGGAAAAAGTAATAATATTGCAACAAGTAATGCTATTACAAGGGCTACAAAATAATTTAGAAGTTTGAGTTAATTTTTAAATTATCATATTTATTTTAAAAAGTTTACAGTAAGACACCTTGGATTTTTACTTTAAAACTAACAGAAGTTTTTTTAGATTCTATAACTGAAGATACAAAACAAGGCCACACAACAGGAGAAACACCTTTCAAGGTGGGGGATCCCCAGACCTTCATGTTAAGTTGTGCATCAGAGTATATGCAGGTACCTACAAATATGGCACAAAAGAAACCCTAGTAAGAAGAAGGGCTACACAATATCTTGAAGCCATTTTTGTCTTGCAATTGCCTTAGCATATAGCAAATATAGTCTGTCAGATACATTTAATCTCTTATTTCTTAAAGATTTAAAAAGTAGAAGGGGCTGGGGAAAGTTCTATCCTTCTAAACCTGTTATTCCTTCAAGTTCTTATAGTAGGCTCTGTTCACCTAGAATAGCTATAAACAAAACCAGCTGTTTCCCTAAGCTCTTCTCTTGTTTTTAACTTTCTTCTTTTCCTTTTTAACATTCAGTCCTTTCCAAAAGAAAACATTACCTGCTTTTAGACAAGTTACAGGATATAACATTAAACTATGTTATTTCCTCCAGAAAGCGTATGCAATATAACAATATTAGAGATCCCCAAAGAATTCTTTATTTTCTTGCATGCTCTTGTTTCCCCCTACAGTAGTTCCACACTATTTAGATGTGTATTTATGAAGAATATACAAACAGGTGAGGAAAACATAGGCAGCAGAATATGCAACTGTAAAATAGTGTATTAAAATTTCTTAATTAGTTTGGTTAAAAAAGTTGATACACATGCAAGTGTTATGTCAAAATAAATTGATGTTCACAGAAAGTAGCTTTGAGTCTATTCTCAAAGGTCTAGAAGTTCTCAGTATTTACTTACAATTCTATAGATTGTATTTGCTCATCCTCATTTTTCTCTTTCACCTGAAGACAGCATTTCATATTCTCCAAACTGCTCATCAACTGCACAATTTCCTCCTTCAGATTTACTTCTTTATCATTTAGCTCTTTAATGGTTAGGTCTGAATTAGCACATTTCTCTTGCAGAGCTACTGTATTAGTTTCTAGATTTAAAATAATAGATTCTTTTTCTTTGAGTACTTCTTCTAACTTTTCTATGCTGTCATCTTTAGCTTTAAAAGCCTCCAATAGGCATTCAAGCTCTCTTATTTTTTCCTTGTAGGTGGTAACTTCCTCCTCGAACTCAGCAATTACTCTGCGATCTTCTGCAGCCTGTTTTTCAAAATCCTGTGTTTTCTTCTGAATTTGCTCTTCTAACTGACTCATAAGTTCTTTTTCCTTTAAGGACTGATGATCTTGATTTGCAATTTCATTTAATTTTATTTTTAGTTGATTATTACAATTCTCAGAGTCATCAAGTCCTTTCTTTAAGTCTTCAACTTGTTGAAGTAGTTCTTGAATCCGCTGACTTTTTTCTGAAGAAACCCTTATAATATTTTTGCATTCTTCCCAGATGCTTTCAACACTGCTGTGAAAGAAGCCCTCCCATTTCTGATCTTCCGTAGCAGTAGTTTGGGACTGCATGTATACAGAACTTACTTGAGCTCTCTCTAGTTCGCCTTTTTGAAAGTCTAATGAAGCTTTTAGATTAACAAAATCAATATCCATAGCATAAGACTCAGCTAGTGAGTGACATTCATACAACTCATCTACTTTAGACAGCACTGCTTTAATTTGTGACAATTTATCAATTAACATTTGTTTTGCACTTTCTACTTCATTATTCAGCTCAATAATCTTTCCTTCTTGTTCCTTATTTATAGTTTTCTGTTTGTCCAATTGAGAAGCAATCTTCTGATAATCAGCTTGACACTGCTTAAGTTCTTCACTTAAGCAAAAAGCCCTTTCTTCAGAAGCAGAAAGCTTGAGATGCAAGTTGGTTATCTGCTCGCTAAACTCTTTTTTATTCTTTTCTTCAAGTGCAGCTAGCTGACCTTCCAAGGTTTCAGTTCTTTCCCTCAGCGCTAATATTTCTGGAAGGTTCTCATAAGCATTTGCTTTCAAATATTCAGCTCCTTTTTGCTCTAGAGGGTCATATTCCCAACTCTCCTTTGTATCTCCTAAGCAAGAAAAACAACATAAAGGTCAGGCTGGTTAAAACAGATAGTACAAGTCACTAAGCAACACCATATGGCAATTACTATAGAGAAAGCAGTCACCATCTGAAAGCCACACCCTTATAGAATGGTTAAGGTTGGAAAGGACCTTAAGATCATCTAGTTCCAACCTACCCTGCCATGGGCAGGGACACCTCACCCTAGACCCTATCACCCAAGACTGTCCAACCTGGCTTTGAACATTGCCAGGGATAGAGCATCTGCCCATATCATTGGACATATTTTTGTCTTGAAGTAGTTAAAGCCCTCTGATTAATTTAAAATGCAGTAGGTGCCTGTTAGGCTTCTAAAAAGTTTGCAGCATGAGAAATCTTAACACTTTTCCATGGCTCTATTCCAGCCTCCTACTCTGTACCACTAGTAGAAAGGCCTTTCTAGTTTGACTAATACGTAGCGATACCTGTGAGCTACATACCATTCACAGTCATATCTAGTTTCCACCTTCGCCAGTTCAACAGTCTTTAATACAACTAGCAACCACTCATACCATGTTTAGAAAAGCTATGTCATATACATTTCTGAGAAGTTTCATTCATACTTGCTATCCCCTTAACTTTAAAAGTTAAGCTAAATATCCAGCATGAGTTTTTTTTGCTTAGTGTTGGGACCTTCCTTTCTTTTCAATTGGTTTCTAAACGACATATAAGGATAACTATTTACACATGCACTTAATATGTTGCACGTAAAGTTCTCCCAGAAAGATGGGAGAAATGTTCCACCCCAACCACAAGTTTTCATAAATATTAGCTTAAGCCAGTTTTTTTTTCCCCTTAAGTAATGAGCAATTCTAACTAAACTAACACACATTTCACCACCTTCAAAATTGACTCCAGCCATGCTTCACAGAAGCATTTTAGAATCCAGCAGTGTCCATTTAGTAGCATGCATTCTATGTTTTAGTATTAAAATCAAGCCTGACAGAGGGTTCTTGCAAGTAACTGCAGCAAGGTGGAATTTGGCTGTCATCTTACTTTGGAAGGATTAAGTAAATAGGCACCGCACAGAAGCATCCTCCAAACAGATCCAACAAGTTTTATAGAGTTAGTAACAATAAATCATACTGAAACATTAGCAACAGTGTTCTCCATCTCAAATGAGGTTCTGATTTCAGTTTGTTGGGTTTTTTTTTAATTATTTTTAGAGTGATCAAATTCCACAGGACATTTTTCCTTCCTGCTTTTCTGTACTTTTCTGTTCTAGGTAGACATATATCAAGTGCTCCTGCTAGGTCAGACACAACAGCAGCTTTACTTTGGCTTGTAAAGCCATGCTTTTGAATTTTACAAGATGAAAAATTCCAGGTAGGGATATAATTTCCTCCCTATCCAAATGCTACATATTTTCACATTGGACATGAGTTTTACACAGTTCACACTAAAAGGGAAAGGTGCCAAGGTACCTTAAGATACATTTTTGTGATGTAAGGTGGCAAGATGAAAAAAGTGGCAGATCATAGCCCAACACTTACAGTGAGTAGGGTATGATCATTCACAATAAGATTTAGAAATTATTTAGATGCATGGTACTGACAATCACAACCAAGCAGCAAAGTAAAATACTAGTGCAAGAAAACACAATATTCAGTCCAGAAGGTTTTTATGTAGGAAGTACTTAAAAAGAAAAAGCCCCACCCCAAAATATGGAAGGTAAGTTTTAAAGATGAATACAAAACCAGAAAGTTCAAGACAAGATAAAACTTATCTACTCCCAAAGTAAACTTCAGTCTTAGGCCATTAGTATATCTAAATACTATGAGAAAATGATCACAGTGTAGCTGCACAAATTGTTCTATTGCACATTTAACAAGAATGGTTAAATGTAAGCATATATTAATAAATGTCATAATTTTGGAGCTTCAAACAACTCAGTTTTAAAAATCAGATGCCTTCTATTCTCAACACCCACAAAAGAAACATGTTTAACATGTCTGAATAGCCTGTTCTTTAAACAGAAAAATCTCAGTGCTTATATTAATTAGCACTGATAGTCAATTTTTTGTTTGAGTACTATCCCTTTTCTATTTTTGTTTGTTTAGATGAGCTTCAGTCATGAGATAACAAACCTACTACTATCTAGTATATCAATAAGTCTAAATGAGCTTCATTTCCCACCCTTATATAGACAGCACCACCAAATGGCCATGCTATGATCTAATATTCATCCTAATCAAAGATAGCAGAGCTGAATTAGACATGCATCTGGTACAGAGACAGAAATTTTCTGTAAGTGTGACGTTTATACACCTTCAAATAAGAGACTTCAAATGACAAATGCCCTACTGCATCACACACTATAAGTTGACGTAGCCTAATATTTTACCACCTTTTTCTACTGTTGTTAGGTCCAGCCACTTCCTACAGACCTTCCCTAATACAGAACAATTGGGAGGGTTGAAAGAATATGGGACAGTATAACTCTGCTTAACCATTTCAGTATCTGTGTGTGGACCTATTGGCTGTTAGCTTGTCTAATCATTCCTGGAATCTGAGAATCACCTGCCTCTCCTACCTTCTAGTGCCGGAAATACTAGAAGTTCATTACCCACTGCATGAAGTGCTTTTTTCCATAAACTTAAACCGATCTTCTACTCGATCTAATGTTCCCTTGTTCTTTCACTGCAGGGTGTGATACATGACAGTCCAGCATTTGGTTTACTCACTATCTCTATCCACAGTTTTCTGTGAGCATGTGAATTTAACAAGTCTCCTTTTAACATGTTTTATCTCCTCTTTATGGACATGTTTTTTGCTTCCTATTTTTTTAAATCTTATTTCTACTTTTCGAACCTATCCTCGCCTGGAACATTTTCTTGCTTGCATCTGTTCTCCAGGAGGAAGGCAAGAAAGTAAGGGACACAAAGGAAAGACACTTCATTCTGCTTTTCTATGTACTTTTCTGTAATTCTGAGAAACTGAAGGCCACCCCTGTCATCAAGTCACTTAGATGCAGGCAGATCTTACATATACCATTTGTACAATATCTGTCCCATAGCTCAACTCTCACTGATTAATAGATCTTAATGAAATAGATAATTTAAGTGCAGTGTCCTTTTAAGTTTCACGCTTACACTTGAAGGTCTTCCACTGTAGTTAGTTTATTCGCCTCATTCTAAGAGAACTAGTAAGCTCACAGATGAAGGAAGGAAAGTGAAAAGATTTAAGTGCAGACATGAGCTGCACACAATATGCTATCTGTGGACTTGAAATAATTTTACTTCCATTTAAACGGAAAGTTTCTCTACTTTGCCAGCACTGTCACGGTGACGAAAGCTGGTGTGTTCACAGCATGCATTTAGAATGAAACAAAGTTTAACAGCACATGCTGTATGACTGAAAACAGTCACTGACCCCTTTGATGATTGCTTAGAATATTTTAAAGCAACTTGAGTGGGAGTTGCTACTTTCCCAGAAGTCCATCAACAGCAAGTTCTGTACAAAACCAGCTGTTAAGAAATTTCTTAAGGACTACAGCTGAGTGTGCAAGTCCATAAAAAGATGAAAAAAAAAGTCTAAAAACTAACGTTTATTTTAAACATTCAGGAGTGCACAGTATAGGATCTGCTGCACGACATGAAATTTACACAAGTTACTTCCATTTACAGTTTAAGACAGTAGATTTTCTCTTCATAACGCAATGTTTATGCTTCACAACTTTTAGTTTCTGTTCTGGGCTACTAATCAAGTTTTTTTGGGAGGCCCCCCCCCCCCCTTGAGTGATGGTAGAAATTTTACCTTTCTTTGTAGGTGGCTCTTCTTCCACAGTAGGCCTATTTTCAAAGCAGCGTTTTCTTCCCACTCCCAATACAGTATCTTCACAATCCTTGAACTGACTGCTTTCAATCACCTGGTTAGAGCTCTTTTCTGCCATTCTTTTAAGGCTAGTTACAGTGTTGTCCTGTGTTAAAATAAAATCAATTACTTTTAAGTTTTACAAAGTGAGCACTTAAAAAGCTTATTAATCTTCTATAACCAAGTATTTTTACAAAATTATCTAATATGTTTAGGGGTTGTGAGAGGAACAAATCAGTTATAGATCAGTTACTTAAATCAAAAGCAGGTGCGCTTTCAGATGCAGTGCAAAGCATTGTGCTTGTCTGAAGTACAGAAGCATAGCAAGAGACTAGGAGATTACAAAATACAAGACTTGCATGTAAGAGGAGTTTGCTTCCCATCTAAAGCAGTGTCCAGTGTCATTTGTACGAATGGCAAATAGTCAGCTCTGTAAATTCATCACTTCCTTGTCATACTTGGTAGTTGGAAATAACTTAAAAGCCCGGTTAGACTGCATGTTTGATTAAGAAAGAAGTTTTACTTTCAAGATGACAGAAGTAACAAGACATGCTGGTTGCCAAGGACCAATTACTTGTCTTAAAGTACTTCCAAGAAAAAAAAAAAAAAGGAAATTTATTCAGATATGAGGTTTGTGGTCGTTTTAAGTTTCGTACCACACACTCTCCAGAAACACTGGACAGATTAGAGTCATCAAAACTCTTACACTCAGAACATCCAGTTTTGAAAAGCTAGGTTGCTGTGGGGCAGTAAAGGGAGCAGAAGATTAAGTATATCAAAGTCTTAAGTTTATAGTAGAAGAGAGAAATAGGTCAGAGCCCTGGCTAAGTTTAATTTGAAGGGTTCTCAGAACTACTTCAGGTTACTGGACATTATGCTCAAAAAAACAACCAACCTTAAATGCAGATTTCTTTTTTTTTTTTCTTAAACCAGTATACATTTAGCCAAGCTAGTCTTTTGATATTCAGCAGGTGGTAGTAGACTAGCCAGTTGCAAGCTTTATTAATCACATCATAAACAGAGATACCCTGGCCAACCACTCCCAGTTAAAACTTTGTTCAATATATTCATATGTCCGCCCTTTAAAAGGGTGTGTGCATGGTGGTGATGGTGGTAGAAACACACTTGATTTTTCTTACTCATTTATGCAATCACTACCCTTCCCACATTAACTTTTTGACTTAAATAACATTTTACTTTTTACTGCAAAAAAACCTCCTTTTCTTCCTCTTCCATTCAGGCAAAAGTAAGAACAGTGATATAACCCCTCTATTCCTACTGTTTAAGTCCTCCCACTTTGAGTTGTTTCCCCACCCCCGCCCCCTTTTCTTTAGAGTGCCTTTTCAAAGTCTCATCTCCTGTTGCCCAATAACTCCAGATCACTGCTTCTGAAAGTTCCATTTCTCCACACCCCCCACACATTTCACTGTAACTTTACTTTCAATGCCAACTCGCCTGCTACCATTCAAGCAAGTAGCAATTCCTTACAGAAAAATTCAATTTTCTGAAATAGTTAAGCCAATATTAAGATAGATTTAGATCTTTGTATAAGGAAAATTGAGAAGCCAAGACTTACATAGTCTTTTATGGTTTCTTCTAAAAGGGATATCAAATCTTGTAGTCTCGTAATAATATCATCTTTTTGCTCCACAATGTCCATTAGTTCTTGAATCCTTTTATTCTGTGTATTCATTTTCTTGGAAATAAAAGAACAGTAATTCAGTCAGTGTTAAATCATTCAATTACTTGGAAGCAATATCAGTCATAAAGGAATTTTAAGCTACTGGAATACTGTATTAAAACACATAATTTTGCACAACTTTTTCCTTGAGAAAGTTACCTCAGCTGCTTCTTTAAGCTGCTCAGATGACTCAGCTAATTTTATCATCTGTGTTTCAACATCTGTAACAAGAAAAGACTGTGTCAAATAAGCAGCCAATATGTAGTTTACTTATTGGTCTATTTTTTCCAGGTCTTCTGGTAACTCAGTAGCTTTTGAATAGATTGATTTATTTCCATGTTGACATCTACACATAAGACATTTCAGAAGTTGCTTAGTTTTTTTTTTTTTAAAACAGAATTGAGCCTTGCAACCCATATAAAATATAGATCATGCCAAGAGACGTCTGTTGAAATTGTATTATAAGGTATTGTTACTTTTTCCTCTATGAACGTTCCACAGGGTACCTGAAAACACGGCATCAGCAAAATGTAAAGCGCTGGGACTACAATATCACGAAATCAAGAATCAATTTTATGTTTTACCCCAGGATTCAGAAGCCTGCAATTGATAAAATTAAGTAGTCTTAGAAATGGAATAACCAAGACTTGTGAAATTGTTCAACTTGAACATACATAAAACAATTGGTTACCACCTTGATACATATGATTTGGTTCCAAAATCCTGCTTAACTGGATCATTTGTTCTACTTAAAATCATAGAATAGTTTGGGTTGGAAAGGACCTACGATCATCTAGCTCCAACCCCCCTGCCATGGGCAGGGACACCTCACACTAAACCGTGTCACCCAAGGCTTCATCCAACCTGGCCTTGAGCACCACCAGGGATGGAGTACAGTCAGTAGTCAGTCCTTTCTTGGTTTTGCCTTTCACATCACAGTTACACCCAGCTCACCCTTGCTTTTCTTTGCCAGCTCTCTTTCAGCTTTGATTAGTTCCTTGGTTTTCATTGTCAGCTCTTCTTTGGTCTTAGTTAGCTCAGTGGTAGTTTTTCCCAGTTCTTTTTCAAGCCAAGCTGTAGCTTCCCGTGGGTCCTCTAGATTCCCAATGTACTTGTGTGCTTCTTCTGCTTGCTTTTTGATATCTGCAATATCATCCTGCAGGGAAGCAATAACGCCCTCAAGATCAGTGTAGGTACCAGGCCCAATGCTACGTTTTTCATCCTGAAAGATAATTTATACCCATTTAGAAATGGCAAATAATTACCCAATAGTCATTATTTCTACGGAAAAATTGGAAGACCATTATGAATTCAAACATATAAGTACAGCTAATTCTTGCTTCAAAACCATCTTGGGGTTTCATTTGTTTTGATTGCCAGTTTTTGTCTACCTTTACACACCACTCTCCAGTATCAAGTCATAGCTATTTTTCTTTTTTAAAACATCTAATGACCCACCACATTCCCTTTCACATCACCACAAAAGCATCCCCTCCAAACTTAGTGTCAGAGCAGGTATTTTTTCTACCAGGAGAACATTGACTAAATACAGCAAGAGAACAGACAATGCAGAAAACCCCAAAGATGCCTAAATGCACACCCATCCAAGGCTCAATAACTGTTATTAAATTGGATAAATACATCTTGCTGAGGATACAGTTACACAGCACATAATCTTTGAAACCACTCTTCTAATTCCCAAGACATAATGGCCATAATGAGTAGTTAATAAAAATAGATGTTGGGGTATGGGTTAGGGGGTGTACACAGGTAAAAGTACCAGAGGTCCAGCTTCCTCACTGCTAGGCCCGTCTTTATATCCTTCATCTGTGTTTTTAATATAACCATTTACAAGTTCCGTGAAGATTTCCAGACGTCTTTCAGTATTCTCTTCAAGTCGTTCTCGTTCCTGAGAAAGGCACTCTCTATATAACAGGGAAAATTAGTCAGATAAAAGCTAGCCAGTATGAGATGCTAAGAAGTTATTAGTACAGCTGCTTATAAACAAAGTTGTTTATTTTAGCACAAGAGAATGATACACAAAACAGTGCTGCTACACCAAAATACAAGTATATTTCCCATGCCACACAGCCCCAGAGAATGAGGGGAGACTAATATATTCAAAGATTATGGATAGCACTTATTTTTTTAGTAAGCTTCTCAAGTCAATATATCTGTCTGGAGTATCCCCAAGACTGCAGTAACTAAAGAACATGAAAATGTCCCTCTTTTTAATAGAAATCCTATGAAAAAAGCCTTTCTTGTAGGGAAAGCGCTAAGGGAACAAGCATCACTTACAGATTAGACATTTTTCCTGAACTCATTGTCCAAATAGAAAACTCATGTATTAACAAATGCAGCAAGTCTATCAGAAGGGTGTGGATGGTTTCTTTTGGCTGAGAGACAGGTTTAAGAAACAAGTGAATTTTACTTTTTTTTAAAAAACAGTAACTTTAAAACCACTTAAAGCTATCTTACTTGAAATCTCTTTCCCGTTTAGCAAAAAACTGTGTAAATTCTTCTGTGACTTCTTCACGAATTTTTAGTTCCATCAGTAGCTTGCTACTTTTTTCAGCAATAAGTTTCTTCTTCAAATCTTCTATGAGATTCAGCAGTGTCTAGAATTACCATAAGATTTCAATAAAGAAACAGTTTCCCACAAGTGACATTTTTCCCCTTTCCTCAACCATTACAGCACTTTGAACTGGCAAAAGTTCTTACAGTTCTTTTACTAGCTCATTCATACAACAGGAGGATTCATGAGTAGATTGAACTATCTGCAATTTAGAAGTTCACACAGAGTAGGCATCATCAAACAACAAGCTTATTACAAGAACCCTGGAAGCTGTCTTAAAAAGACAGGCTTAAATGCCATAGGAATTGGTTCTTGTTTTCCAGATCCTCATTTTGGGGCAATATTAATGAAAACTCCACAAAAACCTCAAGTCCCCTGTTCCCTCACCCTTGTCTTCCCTAGTATTGACCAAAATGCTCTTCCTTAAAGAATAGTTTTCAGATTTTTCCCATACATAGAACACAAAGGAACAGTCTCCTGTATTGCTAGAAAACAGGTAATATTACTTGCTGTGCATTGACCAAGCGTTACCAAAAGGAGAGAAATAAAAATCTGCAACTCTTACTTCTCAGTCTGTACAGTTTTCCCACAGTAGTCACTAAGTCATGAGTAATCCCACTTTTAGATCTCAAGACCATATTCAAGTTGAATAATGGTGATCAGAAAAAAAAAAACACCAGAAAACCATGAGATGGGAAAATGAGAAAACTGCTTTGCTTCAAGACTCCATTCTACACTAATTCTTAAAGAAACCTTAGCACATACCATATAGTCTTCTTTTCTCATACAAACTTGATTTGCTTCATGTTGCTGCACCGCTTCTTCTTTTGACATGTGCTGTTCCTCATCATCTTCAATCACATCTTCTAAGCTCCTATCCCATAGCACAGTAGTTCTTTTCCTTGGGATTGGCATTTTAGTGTCAAGTAGCGATGATTCTTTTGCTGATTTCTGGCCAAATGACTGAACTTGAGGAAGAATAGATGCGTCCATAACAAAGACCTACCCAGAAAATAAAGAACAAAGCCACCAGTATTTTTTAAACCTTTACTGGCACTTCCAGGAGACAGCTGTTGGAACTTTCCTATAGGTCTGCTGAGACTATTCTCTGTTCAGACTCACTACTTAGACTAGTTCCCAGCTAGGGTACCAAAGAGTCACTTTATAATCTAACCCTTCTTCTGATCCTAGGAAAACCAAGTTTCACAAGCTGAACAACCTACAAGAGGGTTGGCACCTCACATACCGACATATTTCTATTTTTCCTATACTTGGAGTTTCTAGTTGCATTACATAAATGTCATCCTACAAATTATGTTTTTTTAATAATTGTATCACTCCTACAATCTGCTCCTTCTGGTGTTGTACTTAACCTGCTAAGACAAGCCCACATGCCAAAGGCCTGGACCCCCCTCCACCTACCCACTGAAACCTCTATGGTGATAAAGATGACCATTCAAACTCTGGTGCTCAACCTATTTTATCAATATTTCAGGTGAGCAATAATTAAATTTAGATGGCAGTAGTACATGGGGAGCTAGAATTGCTCCTAAGTGGGAGCATATCATGACCACAGAAAAAAGTTTACCTAGCTCTCAGGGAATTTCTTCCAAATACAGCAAGCGTCTTGTTAGGCTGGACATTTTATAGGAATTAATTACAGATTTTCAGCAAAGTAGTAAAGCCTGCCTAGGAGTAATTAGTAAATATGATTCAATGAGACAAAAATCCAGTAACTAAGTTTATTCTTACAAGTGAAAATACCTGTCCTTTAAATGCAAATCAGAAGTACTAATCACAAGATGAAACACTACACACTTACTTTTTGTGCAATGGCTGAGAACTTTAGCACACTGAGTGTTTCATCATATGCTGACGCACACTGGCTTATATTTACTATCATATAGATCTTCCCCTTTCCACTGAAGAATCCTTGGAAGTAGTGAGTTAACTTACTTTCCCGAAAGGGTATGTGCTGCTGTAACCTTCGAAGACAAAAGAACAGATGACCAGAAAGTTAATAATTTCCAGCTAGTGTCAGAGCTATGCAGTGCAAGACAAACACTTAAATATTTATAAAAGTAGCTTTTCAATCAATTAAGGTTATTTTGGACTAGATATAGCTATTTGTGAAAAGATTGTGCGGCTGATGTGAACTGCTGCTTTAGCCATTGTCTCAGATCAGCTATAGCAATACATTTGGAGGATACATTGCAACCAACAGCATACTCAACATATAGCATCAGGTAGGTCACATGACCTTATGCTACCTCAAGCTATAGTCCCACCTCTTTTCCTTTCCACATTCATGGAAAGCATATACTTAGTTCTAGGCATGCAGTATCCAACACTACCAGAGACCTCTTGTTCAGTATCCTGTCTCTGAAAACAGACAACTGCAAGAAAACAAGTATACATCAAACACATGGAGATACTTTTCAGAACTTTTCCTAATTCCCAGCAGTTTAGCATTTCAAAAATCAAAAGCTGTGACCCTGAACATAACAGCTGGTGATGTAGTTTTTTTATGGTAAAAATTTTTATGAGAATTCCTAAGATATGATTAAAGACACTTGCCACTGAATAAGTTACCTGCATTTTGGACACACAACAGCTATTCAGTTATATGAACAGTAACGTAGAACTCAAGATAGTGACGCTCCTGCCAGAATACATGTACAGCTCATAAGTAGCTTTGCTGCAGGACTGAAACAAAACTCCTTTAAGAAAGTTACTGCTTCCAATCCAGCTTGCAAAGGGGCACATATTAGCATTTTAAGAGATCATGCTTTAGAGTATTTCTTCTATATTGTTAAAATTCAAAGTTAAGATCAAAAAAAAAAAAACAAACCACATTCTAAATAGACTAACAGCTTATGAGCAGCTGCCAATAGAAGTATGTAGAAAATAGAGTTAGCTCTAAGGAATAACAGAAGGCTGAAAATCTGACTCTAACACAAGTTTAAAACACTCTTTTGCAAAGTTTGTTGGATAAGCCAAGCTCAGAAGCAAGTTAATTTGATAAAATCCATAACAGCATATCTAAAGGATGTCAGAATTTGAATGAGATAAGGAACAAAACAAAGCAAGTTTAACAATAGCTTTCCTAGATCAACACAACTTTACAATATAGATTTTACAAGTCTATATATCTTTTCTACCAAAACCTTAGTGAGAGCATTGTCTATTTTAAACAATAGCTTTTAAATGTTCTAGGCAATATTTAAAATCCACAACCAGTATGCAATTCATAAGAGGACTTACTTTGACTGTTGACAGTTCTTGAGTGCGTTTATACACTTGCCTAGAATCAGAAGGGAGGTGTTTATATTTCCACTCTCTTTCAGTCTATCACCTTCATTACGGGTCTTGGTACATCTTTCTGAACCAGCAAGATCACACAATGACAATCTGAAAGCAGATAAAGAAATCCACTTTATCTACCTTTGAGCATGAAAAAATTACTTGCTTTTAAAAACACTTTTCTTAGAGAAAGATTTCTTGCTGTTTCCCTAAACAAGTTTCACACTACTGCCTGCCAAACTCTTTCCCAACAGGTTTCCCCTTCCACCTCAATTCCTTTTGAGGACTTACATGAGTTCAGGAGTACAGCAGGCTAACTGAACCCTGTGTTGAATAGAGGGTACAAGATACAGAACAGCATTGCCACCTGATGGCTTGTGATGGAGGACCAAGTACCATATGAATTTAGAAAGTGGGGAAAACTCTGTATGTGCATGAGGCTCTACCAGGGAGTTCTGAGTGTATAGTGCAATACTAGTACATCAACATGCAAGATAACTGACATCATAAAAGAAGAGGGAGACTCAGCTCTGAACTTACTCATTGACTCGAATCACTTGCGGTGCTCCTGAATCTTCAATTTTCAATACTTTAACTGTGAATATGCTGTGACTAAAAGAAATTTAAATCATTAGAGAAGTGAAAATATTTTTAGACTCCATCACGTCTGTTTAAAACACTGTTGACTCTGCCAACATACTTAAGCATATAACCTATCAGATACAAACTTTTGAAGAGATACTTATGTAGCACTTATTTTGCTTTTTTTCCTCAGACATTTAGATTGAATAGGAGCCAAGTGCTTTTCCCTGAAGGAGACTATTTGATTAAAACACTGTTCGGTTTAGTGCATGTTCATCTTATTGAAGGACTGAATCTTTTTGGCTTAAAGCACTGCTAAAGGATGCCAAACCCTAAACCTAGATATCTAGACCTTCTTCCTAAGCCTAGATATCTAGGCCTTCTTAAAGCTTCTTCCCTAGACCTTCAAGACATACTTTTGTTGCATGCTCTGTCCCACACACCATCCTATGCCCAGTGTTATTCAATATGTTTCTCACCTCCTGCTGGAGTTAGCATTTAGTTTCGTGCTTGCAATACTCTGCTGTTTCAACCCCAGTTTTAGAAGTCGAAAAGCTTCTTTAGAATCAGAAATCTGTACCCACTGCAGACCTTTAGGAAGAACAAACATGATAAATTTGTAAATATCAACAAAAAGTAAGAAGGGCTTCAGAGATAACATATGCACACCAGGAGTAATACTATTTGGCAATTTGCAATGTATTCCCATCACCTTTTACATACGAACATCCCTTGATGTCTTGAGCAAGGCGTAGCGTCCTTCTCTTCTTGTCATTTGATACAGGAATCAGGAGATCATAAAAACATTCATTGTAAATCTCAAAAAATGAAACCCAAACAGAAAACTTCACGTAATTTTTCACAGTTGGGCTAGACTGTTCCGGGTCTTTTAAGAGCTGTTCCAAATCTGCCAAGAACAAAGTATTACAAGTCAATATAGGCCTAGTAAAGTGAATTTCATTTTAAAAAAAATTAGTAAGTGAAAACTGAGCCTTCTAGAACACACGTCATAGACAAAAACAACTAAGATCCCCTCCCCCTTTTATTAAGCATCACATGCTTGCCCTACATAATTGCAAGAGACACTCTACCACTTCCTTTTCCACTAGCAAATTCTATCAAACACACACAGCTTGCCTGGAATTATTCAAGTCTCTCCAGTATCTTTAGAAGATTGAATTAAATCAACAAGTACACTTCATCCTGACTTTTTAAAGCAAACCTAGGTAGTTTTTAAGTGCGAGAATTAGATTACATACAGTTACTCTAAAAGCCTGTCAGGACACAACTAGGGCCCACAGAATAAGTAGTACTGTTTTCTGCAGAGATAAATTGCTTACTACCCAATTCATAGGCATATAAAAATGTCAAGTAGTCACTTTATTATTAACATAGTCCATAAGTCATTTATTGACCTGATGAAAACTTCTTTGTGAGCTTCAATTACAATTCCTTAATATTAAACATACCATTAGAATCAGCCGGAGCTTTGTTGGTGGTGCCATTTTGATGGTCTACCTATAAAAGAGAACAGACTTGAAGATATATTGTTGACTGTACTCCACCAGTTACTCCTGTAGTAGCTCTATTGTCCTACTAGATAGGAATGCAGCACAGTTGTAATGTATCAATACAAAAACTCTACCTACATATTATGCCTAGTGCACCAGTAGACTCCTGTTGAAAGGATTGTTCCTACTTTAATACTCATTCCTGACACTTCTGTTAGGCCTTATCACAGCATACAGCACTTCAGCTTGCTGAACCAGAAGAAAATGAGCCACAGAAAAAGAGGGAAGTGAGAGCCCACACAGAAACAGGATTATTTAAACAGGATGATTTGCAGGAGTCCAGTTGCAGTTTACCATTACTCTTATCACAGCAAATGTAGAGTCCTGATTATTTTTTATTATTGGCATTTTGCTAATCCAGAATTCCTTATTTTGAAGCTTATTAGGTCAACTCTCAGAAACAGTTAAGTGTAGAACATATGTTCAACTTAAGAAATTAAGTGAGCAATTTATTGCTTCGTGATTCAATTGTGAAAGGTTTCTACAGCCTGTAATAAAGTCTAGGTCTTAGGAAGAGAACAAAAATCTTCCGCTGTGCTCTTCAATAAAAGAAAACCACAAGTCTAGAAAAGACCAAAAGAACAAATTAGAGCTTATGAGGTTCATACACATGTACTCCATTCCCAGTTTTAGTTTTGGTTGAATGATTTTTGTTTAGAAACAGAACTGCCTAAGAGAGAGGAAAATAGGTGTGGTTTAGGTCAGTTGGGTTTTGTTTGGGTGTTAGGGTTTTTTTTTTTGGTTGGTTTGTTTGGGTTTTTTTTAATATTTTGTCAAGGTTATATTTCATTTAAAGTTGGAATTCTATAAAGATATTCCTGAAATAGTTAAATAGTTAAGTAATCAAAACTTTTAGGTTTGAACTTTATACATAAAAAACAGCCATCAAAATCTCTTAATATAGACACAAACTTTGCCACCAAATTTATAAGCTGAAGTATTGTTCTTTTAAGCACAGTTTCAGAAGATAGAGGGAACATATACATGTATTCAATGCACATATAACAGGCTTTTCTGAAATTCTTAAAGACTCTTAGAGCAAGATTTAAGATGAGCCTAAGCTTTTGAAGTGAAGCTTGAAGAATTTTGCTGCCACCTGCCTTCCACACTGGAGAAGTCCAGTTAACTAAGATGAAAAAAAAAGAAAAAAAAAAAGTCACATATATTCCAAGACACAACAGCCAGAATACTTCATTATAACCTGACATACTACGAGGGAGATAAATTGAACATTTTCATTAAAGATTAAAAAAAATTAAAAAAAAAAAACAAAAAACCACAAACAAAAAAAAAAGCCACAATAATCCCTTCCTAGTTCAAATTGCTAGCATACACTCAGGTTTCTTATTTCATTCATTTCAGAATTAAAAACATCAAGAAAAAGGGTATCCTTACATAACATACAAATCCCCTGTAACTGTAATTAGACTAAACAGCTTCAGAATTCCAGACAGCTCGTGAAACTGAAGTGTATTTCTGGACTATTCAACAGTGATCTGTTTCAGAAGGAAGCCCAGCAGAAAGCCATTTTAATTCAAATCTTTAGAAGTCCACTGGCTTTATAGCTCTGCTGTTAAAAAAAAAAAAAAAAAGAAAAAGGAAAATGAAATAAAAATTGCTTCTTTTGAGGATACTTGCCAAACAAAGAGGGGAAGAACCTCAAAATCATTAATTTCAGTCAAGTATCCTGAAAGACAGTAATTCTTTAAAAGAGCAGACCTGACAGCATCTCCACAGATGGGGATACTGTTAGTGTACAGTCCTTTTTAAGTATCAGCAACCCTAGAGGACAAATTGTCAGGTGCCCAAACTACAGAAAAAACACACCCTTAAGTTTACATCCTACCAAGTACTCAGCTACAAGACAGAAATCCACAGGAGAACAGGGTTCATCAGCTCTACTGGCCACTTTACTGCTCATCTGAATAGCTGGCTGACAGCAAATAGATATGTCCATGCTTAAATACAGTGTCTTTCTAGTGAGAAATGAACAGGGTAACACTAAGTTATCTAAAGATGTGCATACTCATCAGTACAGGAAGAAGCGATTCTCTACCTCTTTTGTTAGGCGAAGTATTGAATTTTTAATAGCAATTTCTTCTCTCACTTGGTCTTTAGTCAGCTTTATATAATCTCTACAACGATGGGGTTTGAGATCCATTGCTGTATATAACTTTCCTTGAAAGCTTTTAAACAACATATCCATAGTCCTTGGCAGAATACCAACATCATCTTCTGTCCCTGAAGGCAACATACAAAAGAAAGATCCTAATTATTACTGGGACCAAGGTAATCAGATACATGAAGACAAAAACAAGCAATCCTAATCTCAAGGGATACATGAGGAATTTGGAGGCCACTTACAGCATCAAGCAGTAGAGTTTTGGATTTTTGTCATTGTTGGTTGTTTGTTTTCTCAATATAACAGAAACATCATTTTTTTTTTTAAATATTATCAGCTTTCAACAACTGCTCATGCTCTACACTTCTGACAATAAGGGGTAAAACATGACAAAAAACTGCTGTGGTATTCTCATAAGCTTAGCCTTAAAGGAAAAAAAAACAACCCAAACAAAAATACTACAACCAACAAGACATTTAGAGAACTGCAGTTTTTGAGATTGCATTTCACAAGGTGCTTTCACTCACTCTCTCAAGGAAGTAATCCTGAAATACAAGTCATTACTGATCTCTCAGCTGTTGTCCTGTACTAACTCCACAGACCCAACAAAAGTAGTACTAGAAGCCTTGTGGAAAGACACAGGCCTTTCACTGTCCCAGACCCTTTTCTCAGAGCATACTACTTTTGCTCCTGAAAGGCAAAAAGGAGACAAAATTTTGTGCACATTCGATTTTTCTGAATCCAGATGCAAGTTTAAGAAGGGTTCACTTAACTGATTTCTAAACAGACAGAATGTGATAGACTAGAAGAGAAACTACTGTTCTATCTCAGACTCTGAAAATAATATCTTCCAGCCTCTGACAGTTTCTGCTACTCAAGACAGATGGGCTTCTAAGAGTTATAGCACTAGCTGCGCCACATAAATCAGAACTTATGTAAGATCTAGGTAGCACTTAAAAACCAAACCAGGAACTAAATAACATAGGAAATTAAAGTACTGTTGCCTTACTTTTATTTCTCATCATTGTCTCTCTTCTCTAATCATTTCTTGTTTATTGCGATGTCATTTGTTAGTCAACTTAACATGAACAAAGTAACACTCACTGGCAAACAATAAACAGTCTTAAAAAAAGACACAAAAACCCAAACACTAGTCTAGTGTAGAGTAACTTACACACCTTTCATATCCTGGTACATAGAAGGTATGTTTTCCTAACTCCCTCTCCTCCCTGACATTCTAGATACTTCAAGGGGAAAAGAAAAATCAAACAACTGGTTGAAATTATTGTAACCTTACAAATCACTATATGCTTACTTTAACTCTGGGAGGGACTCCATCTGTTGGCAGCTTAGTGATATTTGTTATGGAAGGGGACTTTGAAGGTTATTTATTAATATTCAAGATAAGCCAATGTCTAGGACCTACACTTTAAATAAAGGAAAAAGCTATAATATTTCTGCTAGAAACAATGAGCACTCAAAAGAGAAATTTCATTCAAGGAGCCTCATTTCTGCTTATACCTCGGAATGTGTAGGTTTTCCCAGCATTTGTAACACCATATGTAAAAATAAGGCGATTATATCCATCTAAGAAATCCTGCACAGGTTGCCTCATGGCACCTTCAAAGACTTCTTCTTGAGTTGTTTCAGGTCCAAACACCTGAGCATAAACAAAATAAAGATATCTCTTGGTAAAGCGATCATTAGAGGCTTCTAAAGAATCTTTTAAATATTATATATTTGTAAACTTAAAGACTATTGACAGTTTAAAAATCTAGTTTGCTTAATATTAAATAAGTTGAACCAAGTTTTCCCGTGAATAAATTAAAAACATTTAAAGACAATTAATTTACTCTTGAAAAAGTGAACTTCTGTATCATCTGTCCAGCATTCTTTTCACTTAGTCGACTCAAACAGCTTTGGGGAGCCTTCAGTATGATGCTTGTTGAGTCTTCAAGTGAAACACAGTCCTATTAAAAGGAAACATAATCAAAGCAGGCATGAAAAGAGTACAGAGAGCTCAACTTACAGGGGAAAAAACACCCCTATACATTTAAAGTATTTTTAAACTAATTAAGTTTCACACCTGGAATTCATTCTCTCTTTCCAATGACGTAAATGGCCTAATACGCAGACAAACTTGTATGTGTCCCTTAGACTCCAAACTGCTCCTCTTAAGTAAAAAAAGAAAAAAAAAATTGTTAGAAATTTGTTAAGATTCTTTGATAAGCAATTTTATTTTCAACAGGCTATTTTGAACAAACTTATTTGAAGACATGGGAAGCAAAAGGAATTCATTACATAAGTTTTTACAAGTGCCTAGGCCACTGCAGAATGTCACTGTCATAACTTAGTTATTAATCTAGCAGCACATGTATATACACTACATACAGGCCAACTAGATATCAAGAATGAAACCCACAAAAACATTCAATGATTAAGCTGCTCTAAACTGGCAATTAGCCTCATTCACAGAGGACCGATGCACCCTGCAAGGTACTAGTGCAGTGCCACACTACTTAGTCTAATCCTATGCATCTTCTCCAAATTAAAGACATACTAAAGATGCTTTTCATCTTCTATGTAAAGTTCTGATTATTGTTATCAATGAAAGGTCTAAACTCCTTTAAGAAGATATCCAAACAATGCAAGCATCAAAATTTTCTTACCTGGCTTGTATCTGAGCTTGAAGAAACCAAAGAAAATTCAGTAGAGAGATCTGCTTTAATATCTTCCACATTTACTGGTCCTGTTCTTTGAGGTGGCTCAATACTAGCAATATAGGAGTGTCTGAAAAGTTGCTCATTATCCAGCATTGGTTCCATCCTGCAAGATAAAACAAAACTATTTTTTGCTCTTTGATCATACAATGTAGAGTTCATGAAGTCCCTTAGAATACAGTTTGAAGCCAATAGGTTCAATTTCTCCAAGGAGAAAGTTTTCTTTATTCTATATGTAATTTACATAGCCAGTTTCTGATAGCTGGGGAGAGAGTCTGCAGAGGAGTTAGCATCATGATGAAACAAGAACAGCCATGCTTCCATTCTTCTTTTAATGGAAAGTAACTGCTTACCAGGAAAGGCCTTACACATATACCACAACTTTGCTAAAAACCATGTCTGACAAGGAAGATAAAATAAAATAAAAAAAAACACAAACAAATTATATTGCTCCACATCCACTTGTCCATCATCCCATTATAGCATCCATTTTGAATACTCATTGCACGAGTAACCAAAACACATGGTTATTTCTGCAGGACCTGAGAAATTCCAAAGACTAAAAAATACCTTTAGCTATTAAGGGGACACTAGAAAATTAGAAGACCTCATGTCACAGCATAAGTTAAAGTATTGCCTTTTAGTATTTTTCAACCATTTTATGCATCAGCAATTCATTTATAAATCCATAACTTAAAGACTTTTGTCCAGCTCAGAACCTGGGAATTGAAAATTTGCTATAGAAAATGAAATAAATTAATTCAATGTTGAGTAGACAGGTAAATTTCAAAATAACTTTTTAAAAGTGCATTTAAAAATATTAGTATATTTTGTTGGCATTTTACTCTCTTACTGCTTTTTCCTGTGGAGTTACAGATGTGACTTGTCAGCTTAATTACGGATTGAGTTTAAAATAACTAACTCATTGGGCAATTGCTCATAGAGGATGGCAGCAAGCATTGTAGCAATTGGACACCTACTATATGACCTCCTAGTTCTGAAATGCACATGCAGTGTTCATTAAAGCAATGGACAGATCAGAGCTGGTTCAAAGTCCCTTTGCTCAGGAAGAGTCATGCCTATAAAGCAGTTGTAACTTTTTTGCTCCCCCCAGCATAAAATCTGAAACACATCTGCACTTCAGAGCCAAAAAACTTCGAGGCTTAGTCTTCCTACCCAGCCTGTAAAAGGCAGACACAGAACTTCATTAAGTTAGGTAAACGTCACCAAGCTACAAATGAGGTAGAGTTAGTTATAGGTAAACCAAGCAGCAACATTTACTTTGTTTCTTCTAACATACAGTTTTTTCTAAGATATAGTTTTATTTTGTCAGGCCTGGTAAGAAAGCGAGGAAAACTTGGCCTGAAATACTATCACAGCTTGAACACTGACCTGTAACTAAGCTACTACAGGAAACAAACATACCTGCGCTATCACCACCTAGAAGTCTTACTGATCAGATACAGAAAGTCACACTGTAAAACTTTTATCAGGACTTGACAGGAAAAATTTGTTAGATAACTGTCACCTTAGTTGCTTTAAATATAAACTTAAAACATGATTTGTGAAGATTATGCTCTTATTCTATACCTTTTTATGCAATTCAAAAAACACTAAGCTACGTTTGCAAAGCTGGAACTCCAAGTGCTCATATGAGCCCAGCACTCAAACCAGTAAAGTTCGGTCAGATAACATGGAAGACCCAAGATGCAGACTGTCCACCTCCACAGCGTGTCATACAGCACAGTAATTACCACAGGTATTCTTATGTAAACAGGTATACTACCTGGCTGTAGGCATCAAAGTGCACTTACATACTGGGATATGTTATTGTAACTCTGCTTATAGTGACAGCAGAGTTTAGATCTGCCGGGACCCTAGCAGAAAGGGATCCAGAAAGACACACACAGCAAACTGCAAAGTACACACACAGGCTGTGTAGCTCTGTTAAGCAGCACAAGAAAGGATAGAAAAGGCTCCACACAGACTAGCAGCTTGACATCAGATATTACACGAAAACAAAGATTAAAAAAAAAAAATAACATTTTCCCTCTGCAAATATCAACCTTTCAGTTCAAGGCTTTGCACTATTCTCCCGGTTTTATGGGACACTGGCACATTGCCTTGTCAGCACCACGGCCCTGGCCCAAGCATCACCCGCGGCTTTCAAGTCCGGCAGCCGCACCGAGCTTTCAGACTCCTCCCACCCCAAGACTTCCCACCCACCATTCCCAACCGCAGGCGCCAGCCACGATGAGCAGAAGAGGCCTCAGCACCACCCTCCGGACGGGCACCCACACTGCTGCTTCTCAACTTCGCCACCCGCGGGCCGCGACCACTGCCTCCTTTCCTCCTCAGAGGAAAGCCCAGCAGCCCCGCCACCCGCAAGATTTACCTGAGAGCCGAGGCCACGCTGGGCGGGCGTAGCCGCCAGCTCCAGGCACACGAAGGCAGCCCAGCGCTCCACTCTCCCGGACCACTTGCCGTTACCACCGGTACCAGGATACCGGCACGGCCGCGGCTTCTTTTCAAATCCCACCAATGGCAGTGAGCGGCGCCGCGCGGCCTGCTGGGAGTGGGCGTGACTGGGCGAGACTGGGCGAAAGGGCCGGCGGGAAATGTAGTCGCGGGGGGTGGGGTATTAGCCGCAGCGCTACGGCCTGACTGGGGTAGCGGTGCAGTATGTGATGTGTGCTCAGGGTGCGACTGGGCTTTGCTGTGGTGGAGGGCTATGAGGGGGTGCTTACTGGGCTTCAGCTCTGTCCTCACCCAGAGCCACCGGGACCTGGCTCCTCCGCGGCAGCAGGAGCTGGGCTGCCACGGGAAGGCGCCCTAGCCTCGCCGGGCCTACCTTTACCTGCTCTCCTCGCCGCTTGCAGAGTCCGTGCTGTGCCTCCCTCAGGCCTAGCAGAAGGATATATGTAAGTTCAAGCTTGTCGATTTTGTGGGTGATTGCAGGGATGCTGTTTCCACAGGCGTTTTGCAGTTTGTGTATCAAACAGGATAATCACTGTTTGCAAGCGGTAAAAGAGAAAAGGCCAGATGAGCCGCTCCAGCTGCACGTGTCTTTTATCAGAGGAAGGATCAGCAGAACTGGGAAACTCCAGTTTTAAGTTCAGGCTGTGCTTTTTCTTTACGTTGATTTACAATACTGACAGAGTGACAGCTGTGGAAAATGCTTAGTAAGGTGCTTTTGCTTAAAACTATCCCCAGGTGGACAACACCTGGTTTGCAAGATGGGGATTTAATTTCTTAAACAAGGATGAGAGAAATCATTTGGCTTTATTTTCAAAATAGTATCATAATGCTAAACAGATCATCCTTTCTTAGAATGGCAGGGTATGGAAATATACAGGATTTGGTAATGAAAATCATCTTAAGTTTCTCTTTAGGGAATTCAGAGAGGAATTCATTGAACTTTAATAAGGAATGTCTGCCTGCTTTAATTTGAAATTAAAGGAAAAGTAACTTGAACATAGCCAGTAACTACCAAAACCAAATGTTTGGTTTTCATTTGATGAAAAGAATACCAGCCAGTGCAAGCAATCCTATAAAAAGAATAATTCTACACAGATCTTGTATCAGCTGCTTTGATGAGGTTGTTAATTTTAATATCAAATCCCATCATTCTTTAAACAGAGGCTATGTCATATCCAAAAAGATGTGTACTTAATCTCAGTTTGGGTGCAGGCTATGTTGCAAGAGTGGGTCTGTTCTAACAGCAGAATATGATGCAACACTGGATTTGAAATTGTTGCCAAAGAAAACTGACAAGCTCTTGTAGACATGCTTTAAGACTTAGGCTTTTTAAATAAAAAGTATCTCAGTTTCTGACTTGAACAGAACAGTAAATACCAACTGTTAAACTAAGCTAATGCCAAAACAGCTTTCTCATACCAGGAGGGGACTGAGAATGGCTGTCAAGGAAATGGAAAAAATAGCTGCTAGAAGCAAACCTGAAAGTTGTTCTCTTCAACTTGTTGGAGTATTTTACAAGGTATATTCCTAAAAAGGTTGGGATCTATTTCCTGCATAACTTTGTTCTTGCTACATTGGAGCATAATAAAGCTCATGGTACAAACAATATTTTGGTTTTATTTGAATATTAAATTTCTGAAACTGTTTTTATAATATTGCACATGCTGCATAATTTAAACTAGTATCTCATTAAACCAGTATCTCAAAGGACTGCTAGCAGCGTACTGAAAGAGCAAAGAAAAACACAACCTAACATGTGTTCCTAGCTTCACACGAGCCATGATAAAGAAAGCATTAGATTAGCATAAACAATCCAGCCTGCTTTGGAGTGGGAGATGAAACTCTGTCTATGTAAATAACCTTTATGGCTTTCCACCAATATCATCTCCTTAAAGTGGTTTGTGCAAGCACAGCCAGTTGCAACAAAAATATTTCCTGCCAAAACTGTTAACTCCTTCACCCCTGAAATTTGTTTGTTTCTTTTCAAATTCTCTATAACTTGTGGAGCAAGGCTGCCTCTGCCCAAAGCGGAAAAGATATTCTATAAATTACTTGCTAGAACTCTCACCATTACCCTTAGAATCTTATGCTCCTAGTATTTGGGACAGCATTCCAAAGTTGTGGATGATCTACTCACCTGAATGATGAGATGATGCCCTATGAGACAGCATAACTCAGCTAGCTTTTAAATTGCTGTCAGAAGTAGAGACACAGCCAACACTCCTGGGACTTGGCCCAACATCCTTCAGCACATCTGAGCAGCAGCCAAACCAGGAGTAGCTTCAGCTTCTCTGTACTCAACTCACCTTCCCCAGGGAATTAACAAAGTACTTCAGTTTCTCCTCAGCCTTCCTGTTTCTGCTGTGCTTCATGCTCTGACTGTGCTGCTTTCCCATCCTGGTTGCAAAGTTCTGCAGGGTTTGCAGCCAACTGTCAAGAAAACCCCCATTCCTTGTCCCATAGGTGTCCTGAAGGAAAATGGTTTATTGTGTTATCTTCTTGGGAGTCTGCCACATCAGCCCTTTTTCACCCCTATCTTTCAGGGCAATGCTTGTCATTTATCTTGTTGCTTGCAGTCCTGTGGATGCATTTCACACTTCATTTAATTTGAGCATGTATAGTGGTACCCTCACTGTCCCACACCTGTCGGTTGCTTTCATGTGCCATTATTTCTGATGCATAAACAACTGATTTTATGAACTCATGACTTTGTAGGCTGTTCATTTGCTTATTTTTCTTTGGTAATACAGACATGTTTTCCTTTATCATCTGTTTTATGAGCTACTTTTCAGTCTCACATTTCCCAGTTTGTTCAATATTGGTTTTCTGTGGTTGACTTTTGAATCTTTACCTATTTGTTTGTTTTCTGCTTATGCCTCCTAAAACATCTTTTGGTTTTCTCTAAAAGTTGGTATTACATTATCTGAAACAGCAAGACTAGTTTTAAGGTCACGAAGAGAAAAATGGCTTGGGTTTGTCAGTCTAATTTAGCCTGCTTTAGTGTTGCATATGTTCAAGTTTTCCCTTGAACCATGTGCACAGAGGCAGTCCACCTGAAAGCAAACAAATGTTCATGTTGCCATCCTGTGCAAGTTGAATAGCACTGCGTTTCTTGCTTCAAACAGATATGAACACACATCAGATTGATTACAGGAGATGAGGTGGCGTGTCCCTGAGTGTGAGGCTTGCAGTAGTGTCCAAGGTTACTGCCTCAGCCCCACCACAAAGGTCCTTCCAGCCCTGCTCACTACACTGCACTGGGGAAGCCTCCTTGGCTGGGACTGAGACCACAGCTTGCCCTCCACCACCCTGACCCTGGTTGGTTCTCAGGCTAGCCCCCAGCAGAAGACTCCCAGTCTAGCCTAGGGGAACCAAGAGCTTCCGCAGGTGTTCCCTGGCTCCTGAGATTTTGCCCCGGGGCGGGTAACGGCAGCAGGGGTGGAGGATGGCAGCAGGGCTGGGTGATGAAGGGCAGCTTTCCCCAGTAGGCGGGCAGGGGCTTTCTGCTAGCCACAAATGCTGCGGCTGTTTCATGTCTGATTTGGTTAACTGAGTAATTGTGGGATTTCAGCTGGGGTGGGAGGAGATCTTTACTGGAAGGAGCTTGTGGATGGTTGTGAGGTCATCTGGGAGCACAAAATACAGTTTGACAAATGAATCATAGACCCACTGACAGAAAGGTTTGATGAGGAATCGTAGACCCATTGGCTTGAGGAGCACAATGCAGTGTGGGATATGCAGGTAGGAGGCTGGGGAGGAGGGAGGGGATTGCTGATGAGCAAGCTGGAGGCAAGCTGGAGTGTCTGATGCTGGGCCTGGGGCTTAATTCCTGGCCTCTGGTTGCTTCCCAGGACGAGGGCTGGTTGCTTCAAAAAGTAAGGTTATGGTTGTTTAAAAAGTCATTCACTGAGAGAAGAGACAGGGAGCTCACAGCTGGAGATGTGGTTGTGTTAAGAAGGCTTGTTTAGGTATTGCCACATGTGTGCTTCTTGTAGATGGTGTGAGGCCTCCTGGTCGCTTGCCAGTGTTTTGTGTAATGAAAGTGTGCTTCATGTGCCCAGCATACTGTTTTTATTTGAAAATCTGTGCATGGCAAGCATAGTATTACTCATATAATATAGTATTGAGCAGGAGCTATATTGTCTTATGCAGGGAAGATCTGAAATAAATTTACTGACTTGTATTTTGTTCAGTTTGAATAACTCAAGGCTTAGTCTTTGGAGAGAGTACAAATGAGACAAAGTTATTGCTGTTCCGTTTGGATTCTCCTTCAACCTTCTGGTTATTTGTTCTGTCCCTCTTTTAATTATTGAATAATTCTCTGATGAGCTAAAGAGAACATTTCAGCTGTAACCAAACTTTCAATCTTGGAATTAAACTAAAAATTTCCAAAATCAATTACTCTCTGTAATGCAGTAATATAAATAATAACCATTTTGAAAGTGAGATCTAGCATTTTGAAATCAGAACCTTCTACCTCTCATCAACAGGTTTCAAACATACCTATAGACATAATCAGGTGCCTTGAATCATTATGCTTACCAAGTTTTTAGGTTTTCAGATTATTTGAACTTGAACAGCTCTTTAATAAGCATGTGTAACAATGTGTCTTAGTGATAGTATTCTATACTGTCTCTGGTGACTAAAGCATGTAAATGGCTTCGATATTCTGAGGAATTAGTAATGCAGTTAGGGTGGGTTTTTTTCAGTATTAATGTTGTATATTTTTCCACCCACACATATTTAAATCTTTTGTTATTATGAACGGGAAACTTTTCAAGACAGAATCACTAGGGCCTTTCATTACAGCAGCTGTACTCGTGTTTTCCTAATATAGTGGGATTCTTAACCTCAGGGGTTTTTAACCATGATCACAGCATAAATGATGATAAAATATGTTTCTTAAATGTTTCTGTGATACACCCTACTCATTTGAACTGTCAATTTGGAGTAAAACTTTCTTAGACTGTCAAGATTAATAATAATTGAGAAATATTTTGGGTATGTGTGTGTATATATATGATTTTGTGTGTTTTATTCTAAAGGA